CTCCACATGCTGCTACTTTTTAGATAGAAAAACTCAGCTTCTTTCAAAGCTCTATTGCAACGTGTGTTCTTCTTGAGTGGAAATGAATACATTCCCATTCCCTCTAGACCATTTAAAGACACTCTTTGACCTGGCTTTCTTTTCCTGATTGGAAGGGAGGAGAAGAAGAAAGAAGGCTCCTTCACTGAATGCTTTGATCAGCAGAATGAAATCTAACATTGAGGCTAGCTCTATTTTACTTTTTCCCTTCTCCATGGGTGAAGTATACTGCTTTTTTCATAAAGTTTGAGTAACTGGAAACTAGGCAGAAGAAACACAGATGGAGCTCAGATGAAAACCGTGTAAATCCATGCAGAAGGTTATGCTGAGAGTTTTTAGAACAAGCTTCTAAGAGTTTAGAGTCCCTTACCACTTCTTACTGCCTTACCTGAGTATGTCATACCACTTACTCTCTATAAATCAGAACTGTGCATTTGAATCCAGGTAGAGTTTAGACAAGTAGTTCCCTTTCCCTTTGGAAATTATGTTAGCTATGATAAGGTGGTTCATGAGGTAAGTTATTAGTAAACCTGCTTTATTTTTCTCATACTACAATCACAGATTGACATATATCATGTGAGAAATAGGCAAGGTTAATCAACGAATCATGCTAATTTTTATTGAGCCAAGTATTGAGGTTCTCGCTAATTTTAACTGACTCTTATTGTACTATTTGAGATCAGCAGAAATATGGGATAACTAAAAACTCAGTCCGGTGCATCATCTCACAAGCAGTACTTTTTCCTTGCTTAGCCTGGTAGGAGAGCTCATTCTGAATTGTACTTATCCACGCTGAAGTACTGAAAAACTGAGAAGCTCTTGTTAGAATGCAGAAAATGTGTGATATTTTGGATGCTGTGCTGTGTCACAAAACATTGTCAGTATAAAAAATTCTGTATTTGCAAATAAATAGAAATTGCCAAAACTTCCACTTAACCAGAGCAAAGAAACATAGACAATTGGACCAAATATGTATATGTTTCAGTACAAATATTAGAAGTCTGGAAAAACAAAAGTTGAAACTAAAGTTTCTGGTTTTAAATGAGAATGTTGATGAAATAGGCACATTCAAAATTTAGTGGAAGAAAAATAATCAATGTGACAAACATTTCCCTGACAAATTACATGGGAAAGACAGGTAAAGTCATGCCTGTCAAAAAGGAGATTTTTTTTTGTCTTGAAGTAAACAGAGCCAAATCTCATAGATAACTGTGTCACAAAAGTAAAGAGTCCCTACAGACTGAAGATACAAGGTTAAATAGGAAAAGTAGAACTGTAGCACTACAGGACTGCAGCACAGTATTCGCAGTGTAGTACCGCCAGTCCTACCTAAATTGTGGCATTGCTGGTGACAACCTAAACAAGATTAAGCAAGGCATGGAGACGGGAAATGCAATAACAGTGGGAAACATGATTTGCCAAATTGAGATTGGGTAAATGAGCTGGGGGGGTGTGTTTCTGAGTAAAATTTTAGGTTTTTCAAATGATTGCTTATACGGAGGCTATTTGTTTATTTTGAGAAAATATAATTAATTCTCAGTAATTCTAAATAATTCTAGGACTTGGTCTTAGACAGTGACAAAAAGACCTGGTTCAAAATACAACTAGAACCTCTGTGTGACAGCAACTAATGTACTTAAATGCAGTATTCTTGAAATAGCAAAGAAGGGGAAAAAAACCTCCCATGGCAATGTTTAACTTCAAAGAGGAAACTACATAAAAATGTGAAAACTGCTTAAAAAGAAAGAGAGCCAAAACTTAAAATGTTTATAGGAGTCATGAAGATTGTTTAAATATGGGAGCTCACTGCAAGCCAATTTCCAGAAAAAGGCTTTAAAAGACCAAAAAAAAGGTTTGCATAGCTAAACAGTAGGGTGAAGGAGTACAAGGATGACTCTTATTAAAATGACTTCTCTTATTAGAGGTAAAAGGCTTTCTTCAAGTTGAAATTGTGCCTAAATGAGGAAAATAAAGCATAAACAAGCTAAACTTGTAAAGAAAATAAGGCAGGCCAGAAGAGATTTTGAAGGACAACTTGATAAAAAGTACTAGAAAAGCCAAGCTGTCTTTAGGTAGGTAAAAACCTGACAGAAGATCTACAGGACTAGTAAATGATCAAAGTAGGAAAGGTATTTAGGGACATGTCCATTCTGGCATATTTCTCTGTCAAGAACACAGCAGAGGATTTGACACCAATAAAAGTACTATAAGAAGAGATTTCAGAAGAAATTGGCAACAATGAGCAACAAAAGATTACAAGGACCAGATGGTATCCATGCAAGTGAAAAGAACTAAAGTACAAAACTGTCAAACCAGTAATGATGGTTTAATGCTTAAGTTTCCCATTCTAAAAAAAAATGGATTTGACAAATACAAGACCTAATCTGAGAAATTGGTAGGATTTCAATACTCCCTAGGCCCCCTTCCAAATAATTAGATTTATGGATAGGTATGATAAGAAGGGAAAGAATTAGCATAGCTTTCATAGAGGAACCCATAATCTCTAAAATTTATTTGAAAAAGTAACAAGAGCATATGGACAAGGGTGATCCATTTGATAGAAGCTAGTTGGTCTTCCAGACTCATCTGAGCATGTCCTTCATCAAAGGCTCTTAAAGAAACTTAAGTGTCATAGAATAAGATATACAGGCCTCTTAGTAATAACCAATAAAAAAATAAGAAGGAAATAGTAAGAATATATTGTCCATTTTTGCAATGGAGGGAACTCAGGTTAGAGATTAGGAGAAAGTTTTTTACTCAAAGGGTGGTGGCACACTGGAACAGGTTGCCCAGGGAGGTCGTGGATGCCCCATCCCTGGAGGCATTCAAGGCCAGGCTGGATGTGGCTCTGAGCAGCCTGGTCTAGTGGTTGGCGGCCCTGCATATGGCGGGGGGGTTGAAACTAGATGATCACTATGGTCCTTTTCAACCCATACCATTCTATGATTCTATGATTCTATGATTCTATGATTCTATGATTCTCATCACTAGAAAGCAAAAAAATCTGTAAGAGCCTGTGGTGTTCAACTTACAAATGTTTTGAAAGATACAAGGAGGGGAGGAGATACCAGATATGGCATCTGATAGTTCACTGACAGTAGGGACATTACTCAGGGTAGGAGAAATGTAAGATTGCTGCAGGGGTTTGCAGCGGTGTCTCATGATACTGATTGACAAAATTAATCATTAATAAATACAAGCTAATACACATGGGGCTAGGTCTTAACTTACGTGTAGAGACATGACTTGGAGCTACAATTGCTTGTTCTTAAAAAAAAAAATAAATAGAAACCCCACTGTGTTCATCAGAGGACAAAAAAAGCAAGCAATGTTCAAAAACTTTAAAAAATTGAGTAGAGCACAACACAGCAAACATCACCATTCCGCTACACAAACCTATTGTATCTTGAATTTTGTTTGCATTTTTGGCCTCTTCTCAGGAAACAGACCTCTCGTAGGATAATCAGGAATGTGGAAGAACTTGTCTGGAGTAGCTTTCATAAAGGTCACAACTACATGAAATTGGGCTCTTCAGTCTGGGAACACGAGGATGAAGGGAAGGATCTGCAGCAGTACGTGCAGCACAGAGAAAGTAAATGCGGAATGACATTCCCCGTTTACCAAATTGTTCACTGCACACATTGTGCACACTGCACAGTGTACCTGCTGTTAGTGACATGTTCAAAACAAGCAAGAAGGGTTTTTTTTGTACAATGCATAGCTGAAATGTGAAGTTCACTCTTACGGGGTGCTGTGGGTGCCAATAGGTTACAGGGATTCAAAATGTTACTTAACAAAATTCATGGAATTAAGATTCAGTTAGGGCTATTAAAAACTATGACCTCAGCTCAGGAAGCCTCTGGAGCTGCTGCTTTTTAGAAGCTGGGATAACATCCTGAGGGAGCATCAGCACGCACTTGCCTCTTGTACTCTTCCCTCAGCTACTGCAATTGTCTGCTCTGAGAGACAAACTGCAGGGCCAGGCGCGCCTCTGATTTCACCCCATGAAACCATTGTATTTGCTTTAATGAAATGTGACTTACCGCACAGTTCTTACTGCAGCTGTTCCTCTTTATTCAGATCCAACCTTTATTTTATTTGTAGCTCTATATTGAAAAAAACCCCAACAAACACAAACAAGAGCTTTATTCAGTCACGGGGCTTTGAGTGGGGAGTGGATGTGACTAGGAGGCCTGGAAATTCACCCTCAGCCCCTGCCCCGCTGTGGGGGTGTCTGTTTTGCTTGTGTGTCATGGCCTAACCTACCCCAGTTGGGGGTGATGACCACCTTGTGCGAGATCAGTGCCTGTGCAGCAGAGCCCTCATTGACTGGACTGCAGTGTAGGTACCTTTTTTATCCAGACAAACCTAATTTTTATTGTTGTTATTTGTGGGTTCCTCTTAGAGGGGCACTGCCTATATCTTTTGTATCATCTCTGCTCTTCTTTATCTCCTCTTTTGCTTACTTTTGAATGCTTACTGGGTTAATGCTGGGTTTCTTCCATTCCTCCTCACCCCAATACATGACCTCTGAAGTAGATGGTCCTGGGAAAAGACTTTATCCATGCATTCTGGCTGTTTTATTTTTGTTTAAAGCAGATTATAACTGGCCTTGAGGGAGAAGACTTGGTTTTACTAATTGTTAGATTTTAAGCATTTTGCTACCAAACTGGCTTATTTTGGTTTTAAGGATTTCTTTATTCCTATTTTTAAAATAGAACAATGCATTTGGAATGCACATTGTAAACATGTAATTCTTAGGTGCTGGCATAATTCTGTTTCTGGTGTGATTGCAGTGGAATTATTTCTGCAAAATTTTGAGACTACGTGGCTACATCCCATCTCTGAGAGCATTTTAGGAAGTTTGTGTCAATCTAATCTGGAATCTCTGTGTTATTAAAAATCAGATTGTCATAGCCTACTTATTTCTTTTTTTTTTTCTCTGTCATTTCTTTGTATAGGTGGAAAATGTTCGGTTACTTGATCGTTTATCTTCAAGAAAAGCTGCAGTGGGAACCTTGTATTTAACAGCTACCCATGTCATATTTGTGGAGAATGGTTCTGAAACTCGTAAAGAAACCTGGGTATAAATTTTTGTTTTTTCAGTTAGCTGTAAGTCCGTGACACTTTATTGATGATAATTTGAAAATAACTTGCAAAACAGTTTAAACATAGTAAATTAGTTCATATGGATGTTTTCATAACTTCAGAGCATGTGAAGTTCCAGCCTGGTAATTTTTGAAAATTTTCAGTGGATTCTGGCTATTGCAACACAGTAAGAGGAGTAGAAGGACCTTCACCATATGAATACTGGATGTGACTGACTGAGGAACAGCTGCTGTAAACTACAGGGTTAGTCCTATTGTCCAGTGAGAGCTGAGGAGAAGTGAATTACTACTGTGGCTCAGTCAGCTCTTCACTCTCTCCCTGACTGCTTGTGCCGGATCAGTGATTTTTTTGGTTTGTTTTTTTGGGGGGGTTTTATTTGTTTGTTGCTTTTGGTTTTTTTTTTTTTTTTTTTTTTTTTTGCATAATGTAGTATTTCAAGTTATCTATTTTGATGGATTGATAACATACATTGTATGTATGTATATAGGTACAGATATAGCTCTAGTGCCATACCATTTGAGAGTCATTTATGTAGCTTAATTATGAATTCTTTGTCCATTTTTGTACTAATTATTAACTCAGTCCTCTTTTGGTCCCACTATTCCCCTCCTGATTTTTATTATAATGTTTAATCTCATCTGATGCAGTATTTCAGATTATATGACGACTACCATTTTGCCAGTGAGGAGGCCCAATATTTTAGCCTTATCTAACTGATGCTGGTTCTCCTTTTCACTGTGCGGATAGATGAAAAGAGCTCATTTTCTGACAACCGCTAGCTTACACTAAAGCAAACAAACAAAAAGCTCTGGATAGCGTGACCAGGCTAATGTTTGAGCAGCCAAAACACTCCAGAAGTGCTTCTTTGTCTGTAGGTGACGTATCAGGCACTGCTTGAGCCTGAAGCTGAAGACTGGAACAAAAGTACAAGAGGAGGAGTGTGAGGATTTTCTGAAACAATAGTGGAAGCTACTGTGCCTGCCCTGGCACATAGTTGTTATAAATAATTATTTTTCTTTCTAAAGATTTGAATCACTTGGCATAACCATTTTCAATTCCCTCGCAGGTTCTTCACAGCCAAATTTCCTCTGTTGAGAAGCAGGCCACCACTGCCACTGGTTGCCTGTTGCTCATCCGCTGCAAGAACTTCCAGGTCATCCAGCTGGTCATCCCTCAGGAACGAGACTGCCATGATGTTTACATATCTCTGATACGTCTGGCACGACCAGGTATGAGAAAGAAACTGGCACAAAAGTCATTCCTCACCCTGAAGAGGAAGAATATAATGGAAGAAATGTAGTTGTGCATCTTTGTCCTTTGCAGGTTAAGAAAAAAGGCTTCATTAGAGATGTGTTATGAGAGAAAAGGTCTCTGAGCAGACAAGTATATTAAAATAATCACTTATGGAGCAATGAAGAAAGCACATTATAACAAGTAGTTCATTCCATAAAGTATGTCATGGAGTTTTGTTGAAAATGGTACTCTAGGCTATCACTAGCCATAAAATACATTATAATGCTATTTTATATGTAACTGGGTTTTACTGGATGCCTTGTGTAGGGGTGAATTCAGGACAATGCTGTCAAGTTTCTAAATCCAGGGATTTTTTTGCTGTGACAAAAAACTTACAATATAATTAGTGGTCATGTCAAGGTCTTTCTGTGCTGTGCACAAATGTCTTAAAGTCAGTGAAAGCTTTTGCAGCAAGTAGTTGATTTATTCCACTGGCCTGCCTGTGCCTATTATTACCTAGGATTTGAATCTGCCCTTTTTGAATTTCTGAATTAAGATCAAATTCCTTTTGAAACCTTTCCTCTCTTCAAAGAAAATGCAAATATTGCAGCAAAGTCCAACATCTGATCCTCTGTGTTTTAGCTGCTCTCCTAAGAACCAGCTGACAAGGCTTCTGGACTGTTGGTTTTAAATGATAGCTATAGAAATACAACACCAGCTGCTGTTCTTTACTATTACTTTGACAGTATGCAAATAAAACATTTACCACAGTCTGTACAAAACTGAAAACATTGGATTTAATTTTTATCTTGCTAGGAGAACACCAGTTTTATCTTACAGTGGACTTGGTAGCGTTAGGTTTATGGTTGGACTTGATGATCTTAAGGGTCTTTTCCAGCCTAAATGGTTCTATGATTCTATTCTACGATCTACTGTGTAGAGGGGGAAAAAATTACACATCCAGCCAACACAGCTACTGAACTTTACAAAGTACCTTCTATATTTAGGATAGTAGTAGTAGTAGTAATATGCAACTGCAGCAGATGTAACTTGGTATGCTAGGTGATGCAAGATGAAAGTAGTCGGAGAAATTTAAAAACAATGAGACTAATTCAGCCAGTGGTTCTTCTGATGTAAACCTGGATTAATTCCATGGGCTGCAGCTGCAAGTATGTGTTCATGCACGCTGGAAGGCATGCGATTCTGTAATGCTCTTTCCTTGGAGCCAGGAGAAGGTGTGCATGCTGCTGTGCACCAGAACAGGACACTTTGATACAGACATACGGAGTGACAAAGGGAAGAATAGCTATGGACCCTGAATACAAGTTCAGTGGCAGACTGCAATGGACAAGAAGGTTCAAATGAAGAAGATGCAATAAGAGCACCATAAAATTAGCTCTTTGCACAGTTCAGCTGCACAGTAGTTTTCTTTCTCCAGCAAAATATCTGGTCTTTGTGTGAGGCAGGATAAAATTTTGCCTTCTTGAAGTCAGAAGGCTCCAATTGCAACGTGAGACAAATGTACTCCGACAGTGCTCTGCTGTGTCTTTTTGTCTGGGCACAAAGCTGTACTTTCTTCAGGTAATACTCAACATCTTAAGGTACTGTTTTCTCCATGAGGAGAATATTTGACTCATTCAGGCTCTATTTTTCATTCTCTGCCATTCATTCCACCATCGCTGAACCTGAGTAAAACCCATCTTGTGTACCGGCTTAGTATATTCTAGTTATCTGGTGTCCTAGTCACACTAAAGGAGTAAATTTATGTTCGATTTTTTTCTTGCCAGCTCTTAATAGCATTTTAATAAGGTCAAGATGTCAACAGAATTTGGCCCTTTTGCTTAATTAACCCATTTAGTGAAACAAGCTGACCATAAGCGTTATTACAGGTGTAACAGCAGGATTGTGCTACTGAGCTTTAAGACACTGACTATTACTACTTTAACATTTTTGTTACCACCTATAAATACCATAATGTAATAATACTTGTAACACTGAGTCAGACTTTTGTTATAAATAAACTGTATATATTTTAATCAGTGGATTTTTAAAGACTTCCCATGTGTCTGTGAACAGAAGGTCCAGTTGGAACAAAAATCCGGATGTTCTGACAGCAAAGCAGTAAAAACAAGACCCCAGATTGCTACCAGAAGCACTTTATTAAAATGACCTCAGATTGGTTTTATGGATTATTCTAAAACTTAATGTTAGCAGATAAGAAATAAAACAGACTGTCTCCTAATCTGTGTCATGACAGAAGTTTGAAATCAGAGAATACAGAGTTGGACCTGCTAGATAGTGTGCAAATTGTTCTTTTCTTTCTCTTTACTCCTGACTTTGTTGACTTTCAGTAACTTCCTGACAGAGTTAACATGATGTGTTCTTTCCTTATGGTCATACTTTTGTGTGTGCATAATACAATCAATTAACTGAAAGTTTAAAAAGCTAAATATAACTGAAATTACACCTTTAAAAGAAGTAAACAAAATAAGGACTTTCTATTGAAAAACATGTAAGCCTTATTATTATTAATATTGTATTTGGATTTGTTGTTGTTATTTTCATATCTAAAAGTTCCTTACGGTAGTGTTTTAAGACCCTGCTTATTGGGTATAGACTATTAGAAAAGAAAGTGTAGTATTTTAATTCACTGCTCTTGTTAAAATTACACTGTGAAGCACCTGTATCAGTGGAGAACTATGAAATCAGAGAGGACTCAACTTGTGATTTACTTTGCTTCAGTTCTAAAGTTAAAGTTTTCTGTTGGTCAGAAAGTTTTAAGGAACTTAAAGCAACAGGATGAAACATACCCCCGTGATGTAAGAACATCTTAAGTATCAATGAGAACATTAATTTCAATCTGTATGCTGAATAGTTATTCATGTCAGTGACAGTTGGTATTTACTGGCAATGGTGTCTGGCTGCTATTGGTCACCAGAATTAAGACATTTATTAACATAAACACAGATATGCTCCTAAAAAAAGTTTAAACCTCTGGCATCAGCAGTTTGTTATATGGTCCTTGACCAAGGGTGACAGGTGGATTGGCTACTTAAAATGAGTTCATGGTCATAATGAAATGAATGATGTGACATATGCTGTTTTAACACTATTACAACATCTGTATCATGAGTGCTTTTGCTAATAATTCAAGGACAGAATTTTGCAGTCCACAAAACTAAAATTTCTTCAAGTCAGTGGAAACTTCCCTATTTAGGGACAAAGACTTCTGAGTTAGTTCATTTTTGGAAGATTGTGCTGCATAGTCCATTGTTCAGAGCTTTTGTATTTGCCACAGGACAGATGTTAAGTCAATACGGGACTTCTGAGCTACCTCAGGCCAGCAAATTCTGCTGAACAAGTGCTTTTTCTGCCGCTGACTTTAGTTTTCTTTGGATGAAAGCATATTACCATTTACATTTTGTCTTTGTGCTAGGGGAGGCTTTTACAGTTCAGTAGAGAAGAGGTCTAGCAGAACAGTATATTTTAAGTGGCATTACTAATAAGGCACATATATTGCAACATATACAAGTAACAAAACAGCACAGTACTTTCAAAGTGTACTTGAAAATAGTTATAAGCCAGGATATGTGCTTTTGTCTAGCAAAGCACACTGTTTTAAAAGAGAAACTATCTAAAGGACAATATCAAATGTTGGCTTTGAAGTGTGATTTCAGGATGAGAAATCTGAAGTGTTTTACTGATTTTCTTTGTTTGCTTTTTTTTTTTTTTTTCCAGTTAAATACGAAGAGCTGTATTGTTTCTCATTCAATCCAAAATTAGATAAAGAAGAACGAGAACAAGGCTGGAAGCTTGTGGACCTCAATGAAGAATATAATCGGATGGGTATTCCAAACAACTGTTGGCAGATTAGTGATGTAAACAGAGACTACGGAGTGAGTTGCTGATTTTTCTGTTACAGAGGCTGTCTGTAAAGTAAATCAACAGTCTGACTGGGGACTACCATAAGGATTAGCTGCAGGATCCCATTGTGCTCAGTGCTGTAAACACACATAAGGTGGCTTACTTCCACTCTTGGCACAGAGAACGTGGGAGAAAGGATGTCTCTTCATTTAACACATGTGGATATGAAGCACAGAAAACATGTCCACAGTGTTTCAAACATTAGTGCTTGGCTGTCTGGGGAGAAGTTTAAATCATACCTAATGTTATGTGTCTGAATGAGCATTTTCCTGACATGGAAGGTTATATAAAATTACTACACAGTCATTTTAAGAAAAAATTATTGGAAATAGTGAATCTGGCAATATTTTTTCCTCACTGGCTATCCTCACAATCCTTTTGAAGCCACTGTGATTGACTGTTAGTGTTTTCTGAGTCATCTGACAGGTCATATATCTTTCTAGCTGCCTGCTGTCCTGTCTAGTTCAGTCTTGCACAATTGAAGTCCCTAGAATGTTAATTAATTGTGAGAAATAATAAAAAAAGTATTTTTGAAGGACGTTTGTCCATGTACTCTATTGGCTCAGTTGCTGGAGCATATCCATGGTAAGGAAGGCCCGTGGAGTTCTCAGAGAAGACTGAGTATGTTGTCAGGGTTTGTTTTCTTTATGTTAAAACAAGCAGAAAAAAAATGTTTGACCTATTTTAAGATAAAGTGTAGGAAAAAATGTCATAATGAATAAAACCCAGTTCACCACAGCAGCATCTGTAACCACAAGCCCTTCCTTTTCTTTCTCCTTCATTACATATCTCTGACTCTCTCAGAACCTAATTTCTTCCTGGGTATCCTAACTCCTTTAGTGATCTCAGAAAGTGTCAGGGAGATACTGGATATACTTTTGACCCCAGCCAGAATGCCACAGGCAGTATCAGGAAAAGAAAATTAGACCAAGACCCCATTTGTGGTCCCACTTGTCTATAGAAGAACTTCTGGGCTTTTTTGTAGGCTCATTGGGTTACTCTCAGAAGTGGTAGGTATTGTCAGGGCTGCTTGCCTTTTGGTATCCTCATTTCATATGGATAAATTTCTTTTCTCCAGATTCCTATTGTTGTCATTATTTTTTTTTATTATCAGATTTGCTGTAAAATCTGGCTCTGTAGTTTCCTCCCATTATAACAGAGGGGTGTTTGAGACCTTTATCCACTCCCATCCTTACTTTCAAATTCTGCTGCAGAAGAAACAGCAGTTGCAAATAAAACCTTGCTGTACATAATCATGAATCATGAATCTATGAATGTATGTTATACCTGTCTGTTCTCAACAAGGCATGAATTAACATTTGGAAATACAGCCCTTCAACCCTTCTGCTTCCGTTTTGACAGCTGTAAATTAAAATTAATGCTTTTCAGCTTCAAAAGACTGTTTTGAGAAATGTTAGTGATGTGTATACAATAATGATGGAATATTCCCTGAAATTAGAGTTCCTTGGTATTTTGTTTTTGCTGTGGAGATGGCTAATGTAACTAATATTTTGTGGACAAAATAAGGAGAGTTTCCTTTCACAGGTCTGTGACTCCTATCCTACAGAAGTGTATGTACCAAAGTCTGCGACTGCACACATCATAGTGGGAAGCTCTAAATTTCGGAGCCGAAGGCGTTTCCCAGCTCTTTCCTACTACTGCAAGGATAACAATGTGAGTGTGAATTTGTAGATTTGAAGGGTTTGCTTATTTTGGCCTTGCTTTCATAATTCTTCTAGTAAGCTTTCACAAGAACAAATCAGTGATTATAAAAAAAATAAAAGGTGGTTAATGTAGTCTGCTTAGTGTGGTTTGTGCATATGGGCACACGCTGGAATTATGGTTATTTCATTAACGGGCATTTAATGCAGTCATTTAAACCCAGCTTCATCATCCAGCTAACACAAAAAAATGCAATCCCTGTATCACAAAGAAGTGGAGTAGTAAGAGAGCTCCTGAAACATGGGTGGCAGAAGAGTGAAAGCCAGTAGCAGGCAGCTTAGCAGGTAACTGAGAGGAGAACAGAGCGATTTAGGATCTGGTAGTCACAGCCTGAGAGCAAGTTGAGGGGAAAAAAAACTATACTTGCAGCAATTAGAGAATCAAGAATAGCCTTTCAAGAAAAGATCTGTGAATAGACCCAAAAAGGATGGATGAAAATGCTACCAAGTTTTGGCTGAGCAAGTCCTGGCTTTGGTGAAGAGACTCTCTGTGTCCATAAGAGCGAGAAATGCCATGTTCTCCTCTCCATGGCAGATATTCTGAGGGCTGAGTGAGGAACTGTCTCACTTGTCTGTAATCATTGGAAAAAAACCTGTACCTAGACTATTTGCATTTATTTTTCTCGCAGCTGAGAGACCCTTGGACTGAAGGATCCTCTGGACCAGGTGTTTTTACACTTGTGTCCCAGTGCCCTAGGGACTGGCTTGGCTCAGCTGCCATTACCAGTTAGGAGGATGGTGTTCCCTTTGTACTCACAAAGGATCTGTGTGTCTAATATCTCCTCCTGTTGCAGCTCCAGACTGGCAATTGCATTGAGAGGTCTTCCCTAGTGCTGGAACATGAGATGGACAGGGCTTCCCAAGAGACAGAGCTAGTGTGGGATTACAGGGCGTCCGGACAGTTTGCCCTGTAGGGTGGGAGATGGTTCCATAGGATGTCACAAGCAGGAATCATAAGTTACAGTCTCCATGGAAATCAGTGGCCTCTACCTTGGGTTTCAGCTTCTGAAGAAAGGAATGAGACATTATTTTGACTCCTCCCTATTTTATAAGAATTCTACTTCCATAAAGATCCATTAATTTAACCACAAAACAGGAGGGTAGGAAGATTTAAATAGCAAATACAGTCTCTGCATAAATTGCATATTATCTTTAATATTTTGTTAAGGCCAAAATTAAGTTAATCACTTTGCATAATCAACTAAGTCCAAATATAGATATCTAGGATTCAGAACACGTGGACATTTCCAAATGTCAGTGAAAGAAAAGGTCTCAGGGATCAGCTAGATTCCAATATATAACGATACAGTTTGGATGATTTTCATAGTTTTAGCCTGAATGTTTTCCCTGTGGTAGCTGGAGTTCAGGTTAAGGTTCAGACCGCCAGGACTTGCAGCATTGTGTTTACTCCTGGATCCCTTGCAGCATTGTGTTTACTCCTGGATCCCTTGTGGTTCAAAGGACTAGGAAAAGGGTTGGGAATGTTGGAGGAAATACCTCCTTGTGAGTTTGGAGGTTGGCATGAGTTGCCAGCTAATAGAGTAACGGGCAGGATTGGGGTAGCATTTGTGATGGTAGACATTGAACAGCTATGGTAACAGCAAGTTGGGAAGAGGTCTGCAGCATGCAAGGGAGACAGGTACCACTCATTCAGTCTTTCACACCCAGAACTTTCCCATAGCTCTTTGATACTGACAAATTCAATGATACTGCATCTTACAGGATCTGGGTGAATATGATAAGATCAAACTGGAGCTATCTGTTGAGCCTGTGCAATAGCAAAACATGGCTTCATCACTTGCCCTACTCTTAAACATAGCCCAAGAAATTTTACATGTGTTCTTCTTAAGAAATCAGCCTGGGTCAGCAGGACGTGATCTCTCCATGGATATCATGGGTAATGATTCCCACTTATGATATCTAACTGTCACTAGGTCAACTTATCTTCCCAATTTTGCAGTACTGGCAGTGCAGCTGTTTCTGAAGATGGGGCTAAACATGATCTAAACCCCAAGCCTAACTTGGCAGACAAGCCATTCTCTTATACTGGTGCCAGCCTTTTGGGTCCCCAGGATAATATAATGTAATGGGCTCCAGCCCAAACTTTCCTGAATCCTAACCTTCACCCAAACCCCTAACTTCAACCTTAATCTTGAGGGCCATATCTGCCTTGTCTATGGTACATTATGGAGGAGACAGAAATGTCTTCCTTCTATTAAAATGACAGGCTGTGGCCACATTAATATGTACCATTTGCTTCATGCAAAGCAGGTATAAGCATATATGAAATCACTGGAATGTGCGCTGATCAGCAGCCAAGACTTTAGGTAACTAATAATCTGTTTGCAAAAACTTTAAATAAAGTATGAACAGGCTCTCACACAATTCAGGGTTTCTGTATTAAAGATCCACATTTTACTGATTAACTACTGCTAGTTCAAAGACTTGGCTGAAAACGACCATGTCCCTTCACACAGTAATAAATAATCTGTACGGCAGTCTGCATGGGTCACGACCTTCAGCAGGCAGATTCTCTTCATGCTTATATTCAGTGCTTAGAAAGTGCATGTGTTATCCCCTTCCCCTCTACAAATCTACCTGAGGCCTAGTGGAAATAAAACCGTCCCTGCTCACCCTTTTCACATTCTGTTCCTTCTTTCCCAGTTTCATGGGGAGGTCTGATCCTGATGGGTCTGGGGAGAAACTCTTGCCTTCTTCACCAGCTCTGGTTAATAACTTCACGCCAGGAGTCAGGCTGCCTGACCCACTTCCCCTGCAGTAAGGTCTTTCTCCAGAGGCAGTGCTAAAAACAAACCACCATCAGTGATCCAAATGCATGTTACACATTTTTGTTTCCTGGGCTCATGGTGTCTCAGGCTGCTTAGTAAAGCATGCATTGATGTAAGTTGAGTGTAATTGGAATCATAACTGGTACGTGTGAGTGACAGTGCAAAAGGACCCATTCTTCATGCCATATCGGTGTTCTTGGGATTGCAATGCTGTACTCATCACATCCTCTAGAGACTACCTTTCACAAGTTACTCTACGTTAGGGAAATACTATATTTAAAATAGCTCTAAAACCTGGATTCAAGTCTAGACCTGGGCCAATGGGTTTGTATTATTTTAATATTTCCTTGCCTTTTAAAAATGAATTTGTTAACTAACATGTAATTCATTTTACTATTCTGCCCTTTCCACGTAACTGTACATCTGTGGAAACATCTAATGAGCTGGTTTTGTATATGCTTCTGGATGATAAATAATTTCTGCTTAATAACTATGTTGATTATTTTTGTTGTTTGTCTGTTTTTGTGCAGGCATCCATATGTAGAAGCAGCCAGCCTTTATCTGGCTTTAGTGCTCGATGCCTTGAGGATGAACAGATGCTCCAGGCCATTAGAAAAGCGAATCCAGGAAGTGATTTCCTATACGTTGTTGACACTCGTCCCAAAGTAAGTACATTACATTTTTTGCATATAGCAAGACTGAACCTGGGCTGAATACATTAGGGAAAATGCACAACCCAAATGACTTACCATACTTCTGATCTTAGTTGCACCTGTGTAACTCCATGGGTAAATCAGGATTTATCAGGGGAAACTTAACTAGCAACCTTGCCTGCATTTTTTCTCTTAGAATTTTTTTTCTTTACACTGAGCTTTCCTCTTTTTGTTCAAAATGTTAAGATACAGAAAAGTAAATAGCTTGTAATAGTAAATGTTTCTATACACAGAGGAGCTATCAGTAACTATATTACCGATGAGGTTAGTGAAAAATAATTCCCATTATAAAACTGTATTTACAGTTGCTTGTAATGTTGCAAACCTCTGCGTGCTTATACTTCAATTTTCTCTCCTGCAAGTGGGAAAATTTCAACAACCTGTGCCAAGGAAAGTACATTTACTCAGGCTAAAGAGTTGAGGAGAACTTCTTTCAATATCTCCAGCACTGTTGTGTTTTTGAGAGAGAATCTGAAATATGATAAATAGTGATCTCCAAAGCCATAGCTTTACAGATGACTAAAATCTTCAGCCAAGGTAAAAGCTTTAGAAAAATTATGCTGTGCATAAACACAGAAACTCAGTAATGATCTAGGAGAGATTGGAAGCTAATAAAACTTGTGTCCAAATTTGGCATGCCAGCAAACAGCTCAAGGTGATGAGGGCTAGACAGTCTTCAGTGCCTGGAGGTGGGAGCAGGGAAATGTTCTTTCTTACACTATCAGTAGCTTCCCTGCTGAAGTTACCAAAGAATCTGAAGAAAAGAAACCAAAATGGCAAACCTCCACAAAATCGCTAGTAGATATAGGATAAGCTATAGGAAAAGGAAAAATTAGAGCAAAGACCTGAGGAAAAGGAACAAGGAAGCTGTTTCAGCAACCTGCGATCAGGAGACAGAGCCTGACAAGGTGGCTATAGCTGAGAAACATGAGGAATGGAGCAAGGAAGGAAAATGTGGCAGAGCTGGAGCAGAAATGAGGGACCGCTCTGGCTCGTGATTAACTGAAGACCTGGTGGCTGGTGGGAAAGTGCTGAGTGTTCACAGCCATAATATGAGGCAGTAGCCAGAAAATCACGACCTTGGGATGTCTCATTGCACTTTGTAATTTGGTGACTACTTTGGCCTTCAGTTCCCTCTCTCTTATTGTGAAGACGAGAATGTCACCACCTTACTCATGGTCCTGAACAAAATGAATTGTGATGAGCACTAGGAAATGATTGGTACGATTGTGTTCAGAGCAGGCTTCACATAGGAAGTACAGACCTGGCTGCCTAAATAATGCTTGTTTAAGTTTTCTGTATGTGATAATATTTATAGCTTAGCATTTCTTGGATGATGATCTTGCTACTCTTCCCCAATTAAGGAGGGTGCTTGTTGATTGGATTTATAATTAAGCACTTACTGACTTGGCTATTAATGATGTTTTGCAAGGTAATAACAGGAAGGTCCCATCCAGTAGAATTTTCTGGTGAATTACTTTAGTGAGACACCTCCTGTGCACAGTGAAAAAAGCCTGTACTTTAAGCGGACAGTGAAATTGTCTCTCTCAGTCATGAATGATGGCATATTTCCAGCAACACTGGCTTCTTCCTGAGACAGTCAGCAGATGAAAACTATTTGTTTTCATTTAATTTCTCGGGGTGGGGGGGGGAAGTTTTGATGTAAAGAAATTTGTATTCACAGATTCCTACTTGTCTCTCTCTGTGCTGCAAGAATTGACTGATTTTCTAAAGCTCCTGTGATCCCAGGTGCCCAATACAGTCTTGTTACAGCTGTTACAGTTGATTTTGCAGCTCCTAATGTATGTATAAATCTAGAGCATGTAGGAAGTGACAGATATCAGCGCAAGCTGTTCGTGGCATCACCCAGGGAACCTTTAACAAATGTAAAGGTAAGTTACCGAGTCTGGTGCAAGGTTTCCCATTGCTCTAAGAAGCTAAAAACCACCTGCCTCTTCTCTCATTAGAACTGGTTCCTTGCAAAGATGATGAATATTGATGTGCTGGTGAATTCACCATTCCCAAATGCTCTTCATGTGCTGCCCCTCATTGCTCTTGATAATCTTCAAAACAAAAGCTTTGTCTGTGGAAGAAAGCTTTGTTTCCACTTCATTTAAATATACCAGATGACCATATGCAGAGCTTTACTTAGGCTACTGTATTTTTTTTTTTAATTTTCTCCTTCCTCTACGTGTTTACAGAAGAAGCTTATATAAACTTACTGCTTATGAGTAAAACAAATGAGTTCTATAACTCTTTATAACAAGACATGACTGGTTTATCCTCCACATTAAAGAAGATGCTAGGAAACCTGGCAAGTGAGGTCTGTTCCCTTCAGACCTTGTCTCCTCATATTCACTGAGATTAAGTGCAGACAGGCACAATTTAGAGAGCTTTGCAACAACTGCTTTAAAAACAACAGATGGAATTTTGGTAGGTGATGTGGAAAACTTGTTAGTAAATATTGTGGCAGCTGCAAAGTTTGGCAGCTGACAATATTTAAAATAAATGAGTGTCAGAAAGCCTTGCAAATTTAACCTTATATTTATTTACTTTTAAAGAGGGCTATTTCAGATTGTCTTTTAACAAAGTATTTCTGTGGTAAAATTGCTCTGCTGCAGAGACAGTTAATGGCATTTACTATATGGAGGATAAGGACAGTTAGGGGCTAGATGTTTTTCATTTAGGGTTTCAGGGGTTTGTGGTGGCTTAGACTCATGGGTACAGATCTTTCTTCCTGAAGCTATATGCTATTGCAGAGAGATACTGCTTCATTTTGTTTATATTAGAACACTAATGTCTACTTCAAAAGAGAAATATTAGGATTCAGCAGATAATTTATATCTTTCTAGCAAGTCACACTGAGGACTCTGTCCTTAAATGACATGCTGTTCACAGGATGTATCTTTTTTTTATTGTTCATCAATAGTCAAAACATCAGCAGAGTGCTAATTGATAAGAATTTTTTTTTTTGCTTCTGCTTTTTCCGGAATTGCATGCTACAAATTAAAAGAAGTTTTACACAAGACTTGAGTAAATGAAAAATGCTGGGTTTTTGCCTATATCTTAGAGTATGATTCCTTTGGTTGTATCATGAAATTCATGCAATGTTTCAATTCCTCATCGTGGCCCACAAATGGGACTATGTATTCCTATTGCCAAGTTCTGCTCATGGGAATGGATGTGCTAGAAAGTCTGAAGATGGGAAAAAAATCGCTATCTTCATGTATTAAATTGGACAGAATGAAAGAATATAAAAGCAGTCTCACCTGTCTGTTTGCTTATGTATCTAAAATAAAATTATAATGGCATAAAAACCTTTTAGTCCTTATCTGCTTCCTCTGAAAGTTAAGAGGTCAAATTTGGTCCATGGAAACCTATTTTGACATATGACGTAAAAAAGCTAGACTTGATGATCTTAGTTGGAGGTAAGTTGGCAGTAGACAATCAGTCCTTCTCAACTGCATGCAGCTGGCTCCAAACTAAAATTGAATATTGGGAGCATGTGTGCTTGGGGTGGAAGAGATCAGGAAGGGATACATTCTTATATATCCTATGATACCATTAGCTGAGTGCTGAAGTATCTTATTGTGAGTTTCAGAAGCAACCATAGAAGCAGCAAATCAGTAGTACTGCCTCTGATATTGGTAAATAAACTGGAAACAGAGTTACCTGCACAGCTTCTTGTCCCTAGGCAATGCCTAAGAGATACTTTGTTTTGAGTTTCCATGAGCATTGGCTCTCACTGCAATGAAGACGGGTCCCTTTTTGTCCAACTGATACACATATGGTCTCTCCAAAAGCTTTGTTAATGCCCTCCAGTCTGGATGTGCAATATCCGTTGTTAATTCTTAAATCTTTCCTGAGCAGAAGCTGTTCGTAGTGCTTGGAGGCATGAAGGTTCTGCCACCTGGGCTGCTTTGTTACTCTTGGAGCCTTCATATTTTTTTGGGAAGTTCACAGGCTTTTGAGCCTTACAGTGAGCATTTCATAGAAGAGTGGGGACTATGCAAGAAGACAATTTTTTTTTCTGTTGGACAGTGAGATTTTGCTATAGGAAATAATAAAAAAATAGAGTAATAAAGTAAAAGTACTTAATTCATTTCCATCAGCTCTAGTTTTCAGCCCAGAGATCAAAATTTGGCATAAGGGGCTTGAAAGATAGTTTTGGTTTTCCCCCAAGAATTTCAAAAGGAGGAAAAATAAAAATTAAAAACACCCTTAATTTTATGCTTGGGAAAGATGAACTAAAGAAGCATTTAGTGACTTTCTCATGCCAGGAAGCAAGTAACAGATTCACAAAACTCCAGCTTCCAGTTGAATGTATTTTTTGCTGAAGCACAGCAAAATATTTGACAGTGCTGCATTGCAGATGAAAATATTTGTGGTAATTTTGCCAATTAAAATCTTTTGTGGTCTTACACAACTAGAGCCAAGATACTATAAACTTAGGAAAAAACTACTCCAACTCTCTTTTCATTATTCCAAGCTTCAGCATTCCAAGCTGTATCAACTTTTGGATGATCTGAGCAGTAAAATGCAGTCATTTGGGAAACATTACAGTGTACATACGCTATGAAACAGTGGCATGGCAGGTATGACACTGCCACCTCCTGGGTATATTCTGCTAGTGAACATAAAGCTGATCAAAAATAAAATCAGAAGAGCCCTTTAAAAACAAATTAAAACCTCTATGCTCTTGCAGAGGAGTCCTACATAAGCTGTGGATTTTTGGGTCTAACTTCACTAATGAAGCTTTATTCATAACCACACTAATGAAGTGTGTGAAATAGAGGTCAGAGCCTCAGCACCCCAGTGCCCTGCAACAGGCTGCAACCAGATCCCCGATTCCTAACCCGTTGTGTTGACGCTGTGATAAATGCTTCCTATTTGTGCCTGACTTAAATCGCTCTGATTTACTGCAGTAGACCATGAGCTTTGTTTTGAAAATAATGTTTGCTCCTGGGTTTCATCCAATTTTCACTGATATTTTTCAGCTCAACGCCATGGCAAACAGAGCAACAGGGAAGGGATATGAAAATGAAGACAACTACTCCAACATCAAGTTCCAATTTATAGGCATTGAGAACATCCATGTCATGAGAAATAGTCTGCAGAAAATGCTTGAAGGTAACACTAGCCTTTATTGAAAACTAGAGGAAAGATTTGATCCTTCTGTCATACAAATCCTGATAACTGCTGTGAAATCGGCAGCAGTGAAAATGGGTATGAAATGAGCTTTGCCTGTTGCAGCTACATGCAGCTGCCTGCTGGCTAATGGGACTCGGGCAACGCAGCATCATCGCAACTCGTGGTGGTTTCCTATTTGTGCCAACAACTTGTTTTGTGGGTGAAGTCCAGATATAATTTCCTTTAATGGCAACATTCATTTGACTTCAATATACCTTACTTCTAGAATGAATTCTTTTGCAGTTTACAGTTTGATGGTATAATGAAAAAAATCATTTATAGCTGACTTTGATGCTAGTGGAAAACACAGATTTTCTTTTTTGATCTCAGAAAACCTATTATTTGATTTTTTGTATATGGTCAATAAGGTAGTCATGCATTTTAGACTGTGAATTTTAATAGAAACTTACTCATGCCCTGTAGAGAGCATGTCACATCAGCTTTATGTATGAAACTCACAGTCAATGGGTGTAGCCATTCAGCACCTTAATAATCCCATGGAAATTAATAATAATTGCTTTAGAACTACTTACCAGTGTATGCATGAGTGCATCTGTACTCCCATTTAATATTTAATTACTGTTTACAGGCCTTCTGGGAAAAGAGTAAGAATAAATAAGCCATCCTTGACCCTCAACAAATATGAAACAGTGCTCACTCCACTCTGCAGCATCTCAGTATTTACTTCATGTGTATCATCAACACCTTCTGTCACCTCCTGGATCAGCTTGATCTAGCTATTCTTGACTTGGAGCTTGGCCTATGCTCTTATTCTTCATCTGTCTCACATCAGCTCTATGCAAGTGTGAATTTTAGATTTAAAAAGGGCTTACATTTGCCATGACAGGTGTGCTGTGCTCTGTTTTCACACTGATCCAGCATCCCCCTCTGGTACTTTTGTTGGTGGAAGAGGTAGTTTCCACCATGTGCCCTGTTTCTTCCACCCCTCCTGGGGAAGGGAGCGCTGCTATGAGCTCTGCCCAGGGGCTATTGATCTTCCTGTGCCCACACAGCAGGTGCAGCAGGTCTCATATCTTCAAGAGTTTGGCACCTTTTCTGCTGAGATGGAAACAACTTTTTGCCTTAGGATAAGCCTCATAGTTGAATTCCTAATTGAACTCGATATTAAGGTCCAGATCGGTAGCCAAAATCATGTGAAATATACAGTGTATGCCTGTAGGACAGTCTGAACTTTGCTCAGTGAAGTGGTCAGTAAATATTGACTCTAATTTGGTAGTGGGAATGAGCAAAGCACTATTTCAGCCTTTCCTTGGGCTTTTTGTAAACAGAAACAGCAGCTTCAGCCAGAATTCAGCTACTAATTGGTCATGCTTCCATCTGCACAGGAGTATTAACCATGTGAAAAGCATTTGCTTTCAGTGCTGCTATCTATGCATTTTTATAAATATCCTAAAAAATTAGTTTAAAAATAGCCATCTGGAAGAGGCCCTATGTACAAAGATTGCAAGGCTTTGTATGGACACATTAGGCTATTTTGCCTCTGAATTAAATGGAGTTAAGATAGTCAGATATGTTCAGATGTTGTATAAACTCTGAATTTAGCTTGTAAAATTAAATTCCAATTACACTGAAGGAAACTAAAGTTATGCCACTCGTCATAATGGCCATAATTAACTGAGTATTTTAGAAGATTTCCAGAGAATAGGAGCCCTACTGAGACATTATTAATTTACAGATCATTCATTAGCTCAGTAAAAATAATTATATTTTTCACTGTATTCCTTAAATAAGTTTCACTAGTTTATATCAAAATAAATGCATAGTCCATTTATGGGGTGAATTTAGTATCTCACTGTTGAAAACAGATTGCACCAAATATTGTTATTTGTCTGCTGCTGGGTTGAGGTATCTGAATTAGATTCTGATTGCCCTTTTTTTTCTTCTGATGTCACAAATTCTGTAATATCAAAAAAAATAGATATTTGGATACAGCAGGATAGAAACTTAATGTTGTAAAAACTGGGAGGTTTTTTTTTTTTTTTTTTTTTTTCTTTAAACATGGCATAGTGCTTGGAAAGTTTTCAGGAAGATATTTTCCTTGATGAATTATGGCTTCTCCTCACCATCCAAATACTTTCAGACTACAAGTGAAAGTTTAATAAAGTTTCACTGAGGAATGTCAAACTGTTGAATGAATCGCTTTATCTCCAGGGCCTTCATCTGTGGTGATGCTGAAGGCTGGGTTTGGTGGGCCTGCTGTTAGAGAGCTTCATCAACAAATATGGCTGGGAGTAGGAAGCTGGGGCACCATGTGGGTGGCTGTCTGCCTCTCCAACAGTAGGAATCATGCTTTCTGTTTCCAGACCCTCATTATTAAACAGGAGACCTCCTCTCAAGAGTTTGAAAACTTTGCTCCCAACACAATTTTGGAAAATCTGTGCTGCACAGAAGGATGTATTTGGTAAACTGTTTGCAACAGGCTTTGTAACAGCTTCTCTTTTTAACTTCAATCAACATATTGGGTGAAATTTGACCCAGCCCTGTTTCTCAAATGTATGCTTTTTTCCCAATAAAAATGGCAACGTTGAACTGTGAAGTAGCCATTCTTTTCAAAAGATGGGTGTTTTACACAGGGGCTCTCTGAAGAGAGAACTCAGTTTGAACAGTCAGTGAAACCTTAAGGGAGTGAAAATAGTGTGCATTTAAGATGTTGCTTATTTTGCAGTTTGTGAGCTGAAATCACCTTCAATGAGTGACTTTCTGTGGGGCCTAGAAAATTCTGGCTGGCTGAAGCATATCAAAGCCATTATGGATGCTGGCATTTTTATTGCAAAGGTAAAGTGTGTAAAATGAGAACAAAACTTGAACTAACCAGATACAGAAAGTGAGGAACAAATTCTCTGCTTGTGCGTAATTTCTATTATCTTCAGTGATGTTGTATCTGAAAAAAACCCATCCTGAAATGCTTCATATACGAGGAAAGACGACTTTTGGGTGCTGTCCTGTGGACATTTTGCTAGTATGGTAAAAAAAGGTTTGTGTTATTTTGACTGAAGAATTCAAATGTACTAAAGCCTCTACTAACCTGTATCTTGTTATACCAGGTATTTGAAAGTCTTTAGTTTACTCTCCAGCAGTG